GGTTGTTTTTTTGTTTCGTCGGTATTCATGTGTATTTATTGTGCTTTATCCGCGCCGTTGTTCTGGAAAGAGAGATGTGAATAGGAGGTGTGGTACAATAAGCAAAGACTCCATTTCAGTGAATCTAGTATTGAGAAAACTCACCATTGTTTTTCGCAAATTCTTCCTGATAAGTAAATTTAACAAATTCACAAACTTTGCAACTTAGGGCAGAAAGCTATTCAAGAAAAGTATTTTCAAACATTAGCCTTCTCAGGATTCCTCCTTTCCTTGTTCTCTCCCTTTGGACAATATCTCTTTCAAGAGTTGTTCCTTAGTTTGCATTTCGCAGCTGTCCTTCCGTCGCAGATCATATTGTTTTTTGCTGGCATTTTTTCCTTGCACCAACTCCTTTTCATCCAGAATCACATTGCATTTCATTGCGTCATATACCTTCAAGTGTCCGTCGAACATCTGCCACATTATCCAGTTCAACGTGCCTCTTTCTTGACAAAAGCAATGAAATACTTGCTTGCAAACGGTGATACAAAAACATTAAGACAACAGATATTTTTTTGGTTAACCTGTGTTGACGTATGTAAACATCTACTTAAGTCCCACAAGCTCGGTAAGTATGCATACATACATAAAACCCGCCCTATAAGTATAGACGAACTTACAGCTTGATAAACCCATAATTCACACGTTAGCAACTTCTAAAGATGTTGTAGATAGTTGTAGATATGTTTTAGGTATGTTGTAATTAAGCAAGTTATCAGTGATGCAGTTTGTAAAATTCCATAGTTTCAAAACCTCAGTCTCCGTAGTTTCAAAACCTCAGTCTCCGTATATATGTCATAAGTTTGAAAACAACCTTAAACCTTCACAATGGCATCGCACGGCAAAACGTATCCATGAGTTTGTCTCAAATTCACGAGTCAAACTCATGTAACTACTTCAAACAATAATATCATTACATAATTGACAAGCATGAGGCAAACCTCATCCCAAACTCAGTAGAATGATATTGAACAACTGGAACCTTGATCCAAACTGGCGCCTTGAATTGTTTCGTGTGCAGCGCTTCTTTCTTCTCAGCAAAGCATGTTTTTCAGCTCAAATATAACTCCCAAATATAACTCCAAATGGGAGTGCTGGGGTCTGCATGGATAAATGTCCATGTAATGTCTTGAATATCCAGCAAATGTTGGTTGGACATGTTTGCTCCATTTTTTCAGCACGTTATAAGTTCATCCAAAAAAGTTCCCATGATGATGTACGAAGCTATGCGTTTTTGATCGTTTTTGGTTTCAGTTTGCTGTTCTTGAGTGTTGTTTGCATAACATATCACTCCAGATATCTCCAGATCGGCGGGCCGAATCATTTTGGCAGACGGAATCAAAGGTAAAATCCTTACACCGAATTTACTGAAAGCGCCGTATGTGACCTGGAAGAAATGACATCGGACATGATATCAGATGAAAACAGCGGCCATCACTCTGATTCATGAAGGCCCCCAGAATCAGCATCCAGATGTCATCCGTTCTCCTCTTTCATTTGAAATGGAACTCATCTAGTGAAAAACAGGTGAGTTCGATGAAATTATCTAAGTTACTTCTACACATACATCACGTACCAATTCCAGTCACAAATTAGGAATATGAAGAGACTGGCAAAGAACGTAAAGAACCCGTCGAGACGAAAGCTAGAAGATTGCAACGCTTTTGATCATCGTCCGGACAAAATGTTTGGGACACTGAAGCATTGAGAAAGTATCAATTCGAGCAGTTGTGTTCTTCAATGTTGCAGGTGCGGATTGCCGCATGCATGTTCTGCAGAGTTTCATTTGGAGCTACGTTCATCAAGTTTGTTGTCGTAGATTCCACACTGCTTGGTCAGCCAGCTTGCAGAAATTTCCTCGTTGTTAATTCTCGAATCTGTAGCAAAGCCTTGTATCCAGCACTTGCAAATTGGAAATCCCAGAGGCAAACTCTTCTGAAGTGATGGTCTATGGCACGGCAGTCATTGTCGAGTGAGCAAAGTCAGAATCAGTCAGAAATGCTTCAACTTGTTGCACAGACTGAGAGCTCATTGGAGCCTCTACCTTGGCTGATGGCGCCCGTGAAATCCCCGAATACTCGCTGACTCCATCCACATCTATTAGTATTCTATCAGTAAAGATCAATTTGTTTTCACAGCCTTTCTCGGTTGCCATCAGCCATTGCCGTTGCGCTCTTGCGAAGCATCAAGGCTCGCACCATGGGTATGCTATGGCTGTGCCATGACAGCACCATGTGCTGCAACATTCTGCAATTTTCGCTTTGCGTTTGGCAGAGAAATTTGATCAAACCCTGTCAGACCAGAGCGCAAGTGGCTCACGTCTGACGACATGGCCACGTGGCTGTTTGCTGCTTTTTTGCTGCCGCCTTCTGGCGCCTTACTTTTGTACGCAGCAAAGGATTGCAGAAAAACAAGACCTGAGAGAATCCCCATGTTCTCTTGAGGTGTTTGCGCGGCTGTGTCAAACTGTTGCCAGCTTCGACGACCCTGAAAACTCAGCGAAACTCATCCCTCAAATTGTTCAAACTGAGAAAATCAGAAAATCAGATTCATTGAGTTGATGCTTTGGATTAGGAACTGGATGAACATCGCTGAGAAACGGCCGTGGCCGCCCCAAATTGGGACGCTACTTACGACACCCTCATGACATTGCGCATGTCCCAGATGTGAAATTGTTCTTTGCTCCAAGCTGTTCAAACTGCCTGCAATGCATTGAATGCATTGGCACTGGCCATGGTGACTGTCTTAGTACCCAGGACAGACTCAACTAGATGTTGGTGTGCTGTCCAAACATGTGCAGTTTTTCAAACTTTCCTGGCTTCTGATTTGAGGTGTTTGATAGCATGTTCCAGCACGATGGGCACTGGGAGGCACAGTGCCCTTCAAGACTTGGGAGAGCAAGACGCCTTTTTTCATCACGGAACGTTTTCCATGAAAGAGATTAAAGAGATGTGAAGAGATCTCAAGATCAGCACCTTCGGTACCTCCCTGTGCGTGTTGTCACAGGACCATCCCACTTTCACTGGAACGTTTGGCGCTCAGGTTGCCACAATGTAAATTCAATGGCGCAACTCTACCTTAGCTGCCCTAGCTGATTTGCCCCGCTGTCTCCAGCCTGCGTTGAAATACGTTTGACCTATTCCACCTATTCCATGCCACTCCCCAAAGGTCCTCTCACACGCAGTGCCAAGGGATGCTGTGCCAATCAGACATCGCTGGCATGGGAACCATGGGAACCAGCTGCATCAGGCTATTCTGAAAGTGCAACGTTCGGCGACATTGTGTCACTCTGTAGTTTACCTGATCATTCACCTCATCATTCACTTAATGTGCGGGTTTACTTGAATGAGATGTTGCGAGGCCAGAGAAAACCTAGGTGAATCACAAGAGGAGTGTGTGTGTGTGTATCTGTGCCAATGTTACTGGCAAAACAAGATATGGCCCATGATGGGTTGGGAACTCAAACTTCTCCATGTGAACCTGAGGCTGATGTTGTGAATTGATCATCGAAGTACTTTTGTCTCATGAAGCGTTTCATTGTCGTCTTCCGAATGGCTCAGCTCAATGACAGGGTGCTGTGGCGCACTCCGCGCACATACCCGAGATGCCAATGAGGTCATGACACCACGACAGAATGCGTTGGAACATGTTGGAACCAGTGCGTCTACAATGTGACGCCATGACCACCAACTCTTTTCTATCTCTTCTTTCATGTTCAATGTTTCAAGATGAAAGGTTAATAAAGGTTAAAGGTATTCCAAGATTCAGGATGTGATTGGACAACCTAGTAAAATCTTCCAATCCCTGCATTCGTTGCGATTTGATCGCACTTCCATAGTTGAAGGTACCATGGTACCAATGGTACCACAGAAGGACAGTACAGATAAAATCTGGCGGATTCCAAACTTGGCACCAGGCCTCGACGAATTCGAAGCGAGGGGCAGGGAAACTTAGGCGGCACATGGGCGACAGATGAAAACTGCAGTGTTCAGGATATGAAGCGATGCAGCGATGCAGGTTCTATATGGTTCTACAGGGTTTAACAGTTCAGACATGTTCACACATGTTCAGACTTCATGTTTCATGTTGCTTTGTCGGTTGGAGTGGTGGAAATGTCCCAACACTTGACACTCTCGGAACATGTTGTGGAGCACGTTTGATGTGGTATTGATATCGTTCACTGAGGCCTTGGTTCCTTGCGCCAAGAAGCACTCCTGAAGCTGCCTTGGTGAAACTCAGGTCGCAAGACATCACAAGACGTAAAAACTGAGTTGAACATGTTCACGAATTTGTTATGAATTTGTTTACAACATGTTTTAAGTTTACACCAGCTTTTCAACATCTTTGCAAAGCTTTGCACAAACCGTTGCTGGATTGCAGGGAGCCTTTGCAGCCAGACCAGGCGATGCAGGAGAATGTGGATTTGTCGATGGGGAAACATGGGCAGACTGGAAGAGACAAATTGCCGCCCCGAGACAGCTATGAGCCGAGAAATATGAAACCTATATCAAGAATTAGGAAGATACTCAGATGATGTAGGTTTTGATGAAGATGTACGTAGCTGTTGAGAAGTTGCTTTGTCTGAGCTGCTGGTGCCAAAGCTGGCTCAAGGATAGCCTGTGCCAAAATGATCAAAATCTACGGCGCAAAAACATGTCCTATGCAATGCTCAGTATGACGAATCTCCTCTGAGATCACAGGTGGTCAATGCATCCTGGTTCATCATTTTGACAGAACCACTTGCACAGTGTGGAAGCAGTTGTTACCCTCACAGCGAATCCAGACAGGAACTGTGGAACTGTAGGTTTGTGCTATGGGACTCGATGCGATACCTTTTGCTTATCCCAGGGGCAGGTGTGGATCAGTGTCAGTGATCGAGAGGAGTCTGTTGGGTGTGCAGTGCGAGTTGTGCGGGTGTAGCTAGGTGTAGCTAGGTGCCGCCAGGTGCGCAGATCCCGCAGATCCAAGAGAGCGATGTCTTCTTAGGCGGGCGAGACAGATCGACAGATCACAAGTCTGGTGGTAATTATAGCCTATAGCTTTTTCGTCGTCCACGGAGTGAAGATGCAGTGGCACTGCAAGTTGCATGGCTACACTGCTTGAAGTATCTTGCGTTGGAAGATAAAACGATAAACTCCGCCGGTTGCCTTCACGTCCATACACTCCTGTAGCAGAACAAATTGCAGGTGGATCAGCATTTACGAGCAATGAGAGTGAGCCTTGGTGGATTTGTTGGAGTGGACTGATGGACATAAGAAAGCGACTTTGAATTCTATTGGTAGACTGGAGTCAAAGATCAACATTTGATCACGAGTTGGTTTGGAGTCGGATTGCCGTAGCGACCAAGGAGAACCTGGGCATCATTTACAAATGGTTGGATGATATCATGTGCCTCAGCATGCAGCTAAGCATCTCGACAAACCAACACAGCCAATACAAATCCTGCATTTTGTGCATCATGAAGCCACAGTCATTGTGTAGCCACAGTGTTCTGCAGTATTTGCTTCACCTGCCGGACTTTCGCGAATCACTTTGTGCCATGGGAAACCTTTGTGGTGGCAACTCACACTATGACGGCGCCTAAGCAGCATTGAGCAGCAGTGGCTGTGAGTAATTGTAACGGTGAAATGACAGAACAAGACTGACACAATACATCACAATACATCACAATACATCACAATACATCACAATACTGTATGTTACATAGTATACTACTTAGCATACTACTCTGTCACTATTGCCTGGGAGTCTCTGGACATTGTGTTTCTCAAGGCCTCATGGAACGATTGCCAAAAATGACTGGCAAAGTCGTCGCAGTGACTGGCTGCACCTCTGGCACCGGCAAGATCTTTGCACAGGCACAGGATGCCTAGCATCGTAGCAGATCCCGTGACCATCTCTGCAATCTCTTGTATCAAGTTGTATCATTGATTGCAAAGATTGCAAAGATTGCAAAGTCATCGCTCACCTTGCATCCAAAGCTTCCAAAGTGAGACTGCCACAATTGTCACAATTTGCTTTCGAATGCGGAGAGGCATGCGCTCGCAAGGGCGCGAAGTTGGTCTTGCTGAATCGAGACTCTGTTCGTGCGGACGAGACCTATGGATACATCAGGGCCAGAGCGGGTCGTTTGGGATGGAAGACTTCCAAAAGCTTCGTGGAAAATCTCCATAGACTCTATAGACTTCAGTGAACCAGGGCCGGTGATAAAGTGTAGGAGATAAGTTTGATTTCGCATTTTGTCCAAGCAGAAAGACCCAAAAAGACGTTTTGTTTCCCTTTCTGTAGATGTTCTATAGTTTGTCTTTTTTTTTCTCATTTTCCCTCGTGCTGTGAGTCGCCATGCCACATGTAGCAGATGCAGCAGATGCACAGGAGATCGCCAGAAACAACGATGCTCCTGCGCCAGTGAAGATCGCATGCGATCTGACGAGCCTTGGGTCAGTTCTCCGATCGTGCCATGCAAGTCACACATAGTTTAGAGACCCAAACAGAGACATATAGAATCATATAGAGACTATTGTGTATATATCTATATTCACATGTATATGTATATATATGTGTGTGTGTGTATGTGTATGTTTGTATTTTGACATACAACTTAAAATTACTGATTATGACTTATTATTTGTGATCTATTATAACTTAACAGTCTTAACATGACATGTGTGTTGATGTGTTTTGATGTATTTTGGTGTGTTTTGTGTTTCTTTTGTGTTTCTTTGGATGCATCTGTTCTGACTCAAACCACAGGTCAAGGGTTTGAGTGTTTCCGACCTGTTGTTTCCCGAATGCGTAGCAAGGGTTCCCGTTTCACTCTGGGGGTCTGGGGGTTGAGGGTGTGTTCGCTCGACGTTGCGTTTGTGGTCGCAACCGTTCGCAACCGTTCGCAACCGTTCGCAACCGTTCGCGCGAACTCCGTATGGCCGTGCCTATGGGAAGTTTTGCAGAGGTGGTTCTTTTTGGAGGTTTCAGACGTCTGGTTGCTTCGTTTCGCGTGGCAGGCGTGGCACTTCGTGACATTCAGACGTGTTCTGCAACGCGTCGAAAGTCGTTTCGCGTGGCAGGCGCAATACTTTTGCGACGTTTTCAGACGATGTGTTGCAGTTTTCGTGGCAGGCGCAGCACTTTGGGCGTGTCCATCGTCATTTTTTGTGGCAGGCGCAGCACTTTAGACGTGTCCTTTTGCGTGTTTTTTGTAAATCGCATTGGCAGGGCTGCGTCAAGTGGTGACAAGGTGCAAATTCCGTGGCAGGCGTGGCATTTTCTCACATGTGTTAAAAATTGACGGAAGCCTCGCACGAAACATCGATTTTGAGGTTACAAATTTTCAGGTTCTAAGGAAAACTCGTACGAAAACGTCGATTTTGGAGCTGCAAAGTATGAAAATTGGAGGAAGTCTCGCACGAAATGGTCGTTTTGGTGCTCCCACCTGTCTCGTCTCGAGTCTCTGGTTTTCCTGTGGCCTCGCCGTGTCTATGGGGGAAGCTGCAAAACTTGTCCTTTTGTCATGTTGCCAACTGTGAAAATTGGAGGAAGTCTCGTACGAAATGCTGGTTTTTCTGCATTCACGTGTCTTGTGTCGAGTCGCTCTCGGACCGTCTCACAGCAGAGCACCAGCTGAGCGCTTCTTGTGCAGATCTTGCATGTTCCGACACGAAGAAAATTTGTGTCTGTTTGTGATTTCTTTTTGTATTCATGTTTACGTGTCTACACAATGCTTTACAGTCTGCATTAGGACATGTAGCATGTTTACCGTAATTCACTCATCAACCGCTGCGCCACTCCGTGGCTCAAGACTTGCTGCAAACCGCAGTAAAAAGGAGAAGTGTCCGCGCTGCTGACCACAAGTGTTAGGATAGGATTCCAGGGCCCCCTAATACGGGGAAAGCTACCTCCCCCCCCCCGCCAAAAAAAGAAAAATTCTCCCGACCTCGAGCTCGAACTCGAACCTCCCCCCCCAGGCCCCCCCAACCTTCAAAAACCGAACTCGAACTCGAACTCCCCCCCTTCCTCCTCCGAGATGGCCCAACCTTGTTCCTCCCGACCTCGAACTCGAACTCGAACTCGCCCCCCCCTTCCTCCTCCGAGATGGCCCAACCTTGTTCCTCCCGACCTCGAACTCGAACTCGCACCCTCCCCCCCCCCCTCCGGGGCAGACGTACGAAGGCAGTTCGAACTCGAAACGAACAGTTCGAACCCCTCCGGGGCACACTCTGTTTCAGAAGCCCTCCATTGAAGGATGTTTGATCGAAAGGTCGCATTCATGTTTGCATTCACTTGAGTTCTTGGATGCATTGATTTTCGATGCTGTTTGATAGCGGCAAAGGTCTTTTAATTTTTCGTCGTCTTTCGGAGGCGGTGGTTGTGCATGCGACGTGGATCTCAGGCTCAGGCCCAACATGGGCTGGTCGCATTTTTGCTTTGAACAGCGAAGAGTCTAAGGGTTATTAGAACATGTTACATGACTGTTTGCTGGAAACATCTCGGCCCAAGCCTCAGCCCAAGCCTTGCATCCCGGCCCCAGTTGTGATCATGCTGAACGATGGCCAAGCAAGTGGATCGGGAGGCGTTCCCTTGTCGCCCCAGCAGCTGAGGCTAGTGGATCGCTGCAGAGAAGTGGTCGAACCAAAAGAGGGTGCTTCAACCTCTTTAGAGAGCCTTGTGCAAGCTCTGGGGCCAGATTGGCAGACATTTGGGCGAGGACGCGGTGTGACCAAGCTGGTTTCAGCTTTACAAACGGCGTTTGGCAAGACGGCGTTTTCGAAATCAAATGAACCCCGCGTTGCATTTGATGGACTACAGCTATTAGCAGAGCCAACAGAGCCGACAGAGCCGCCATCATCACCCCCCAGTAGATTTAGCCGCGTTGCCAGTGCTGCATACAAAGCAGCGGCAGCAGCGCTGGGAGCCGCAAGCCCCACTGGGGCGGTTGCAGCAGCTCTGGCAGGGGCGGGGTTCGACAGCGAGCCCCCCCGCAAGAGGCTCAAAAAGACCACCTTGAGGGTGGAGGAATATTCGGAGGAGATTTGGGAATATAGCTGATTAGCTAGATAGCTGCTTGATCGTGACTTTTCACCGCAGAAACCACGAGCTGACTTGGGGCTGGTCAGCAAGTTTGAAGAAGAAAAAGGTCCCTGCATATGGTGTCACTTGTTATGCAATAGAGTGTGCGCAGTCATTGTGTTCATTTTGGCCCTTCAAGCCCTTGAATTTGTATTTTCAGAAACTTTGGATGACGTGTGGTAGCAGATTTTTTGTGCAAAAACATGCATCAGAGGAATGTGAGTTGTGAAGCCTGGGCAGGTTCATTACTGACCAGCGCCGCTGCTCTCAGTTTCGAAACTTTCAGTGCCAAGTGCCCTTGACCTAAGTAAAAGACAAGAAACGAGAACGATGGTAAAAGTCAAGAGCCTTGCATCTGATGCAAAATTGTTTCAATTTTGGATCTTCACTGCCATGCCTGTGCAAGGACCCCGGCGAGCTTCTACATGCGGCAAGGTTTGCGGAACAACTCTTTTTTCCAATTCTCAGCAGTTCCTAAGCGTGTTGAATGACTTTGTGAAGGCTCAAGGACTTGAAGTTTCTGACATGACAATCAGGAGTTCTCCAAAAGTGGTTCTGAACTCAGAAGGACCTGTCCGTTTTCCAAAACTCCGCACCCTTGTGCACATCGCATATCGAAACATTTTGTTTGCTGTCCTCGCTTGGAAGTTTGCCTGGGTTGCTGTAGCCCCAGAGGTCCGACCGGAGATTCCATCGACTCTGGACATTCGTCCTCGCATCGAAGATGGGAGCTTTCAAGGGTTTGGTAGTTCCAACAAGCGAGGAGGAGGAAGGAGATCGGAAGGATCTGAAAGATTATATTGGAAATTGTTTGAGCGATTGAAGAACTACTTGAACAAGATTCCAAGATGTTTCTTAGCTGCTCACAAATCCTGTACAGAAATCCTGACTCAGAAATAGTAAGACCTGATGAATGTCGGCGCTTGCAAAACTCCAGGCCCGACCTCTCATTATTTGTGGGTGTTGCTATTGATGGCTTCCAAGGGCAAATTACAATATCGAAAAACACTCAAATGTTCCTTGTTTTTCAAAGTGTTGAAGAGGCTCTTTGTTCTTCAAACCTCTGAAGTTCTTTATTTGGTTTTCTTTCTTCACAAGTACAAGCGACTCCTATACCTTGTTTGATTTTTTGGATTTTGTCCATCCAACTGCAGCACTTGTGAGTAAGGCTGGTGAGGGGTTCGCTTATGTTATGCCACCATTCTCAGGGGCTGATTGCCAGAGAGAACAAGACCATTGGCTGTGCAAAGCGCTTTCGTGAACACCGCCCACTACTGCAGAACCCTGAGCTTTACTACGTCGTCTGCAGGAAGCCTAGTGAAGGGAATCTTGAGAGTGAAAGCGTTACGCGCAAGTTGGAAGAGATTCTCAGCTTTCATCAACCGTTTTTTTGCTCTTAGCATCTTCTTTCCTGAAACAATGTTGTCAGCCGTTTTACTTTTCAACATACACAGACATTGGAGGCTTTCAAGTTTTGATTTGAGAGGCTTCGATTGGACAATGGCCTGCCGATCGGCACTGGACGACAAACTTGGGAGAAGGCGTGCGGTCGTGCAAAGCTGAAGCTGAGTGCAAAACAACACAGAAGAAACCCAACAGACGTGAAGGAAGGGTTATATTTTCCTCTTTGTTTAATCGAATGTTCATACGAGTCATACGAGATTGCTTTTTGGAACCCCTGCGATTTCGCAGCGGAGTAGTGCAACATCGTGTTCGGAATTGCAAATATGCACAACGAAAGTCTGACATTCTGATGTATAGAAGTTTGACTCGCACCCGCAGATTCCAATATGAAGATTGAAGCGGAAAAGCGAAAAGAGAAGAAACTTGCCCAGCCTAGAAGGCAATTGTCAAAGAAGTTCATAGGTCTTGAACCTTTTTTGCTAAACAGTAACCGTTTTCACTAAGACCAACCAAAAAGGCAGATTAGAACATATTCAGATCAGAAAACATTTTTTTAGACACCTGAATGATTACGAAAGCCAGCCGGCAAGCTGGCTAGTTGTTTTTGGCGAACGAAGTGAGATTAAGGGGTCTGGGGGGAGGCGTTGCTAAAAGGGCCCGTTTTGTGGAAAATAGGTGGTAAAAAAGTGTGTAACTTTGTCCCGTTTTGCAGGTCACGTACCAGGTCGCAAAACAGTGACGGTGGGGTATCGATTCCCCCTAGGTCCGGTTTTCTGGGCTCAGTCAATGGACAGATAGATGGGCCAGCTAGTTAGGGAAGATTGGAGAGAGAAGGACATTAGCCTGAGTGAAAAGTATATGGGTAAAAAGTATGTGCAAGAAGGGTTTCTGGGTGAAGAGTCTGTGGGTGAAAAGTATACGGGTGAAAAGTATATGCAAGAAGAGTCTCTGGGTGAAGAGTCTCTGGGTGGAAAGTAAATGGGTGAAAAGCATGTGCAAGAAGAGTTTCTGGGTGAAGTGTCTGTGGGTGAAAAGTATATGGGTGAAAAGTATGTGCAAGAAGAGTTTCTGGGTAAAGAGTCTCTGGGTGAAAAGTATACAGGTGAAAAGTATTTGCAAGAAGAGTCTCTGGGTGAAGAGTCTCTGGATGAAAAGTATGTGAAAGAAGAGTTTCTAGGTGAAGAGTTTGTGGGTGAAAAGTATATGGGTGAAAAGTATGTGCGAGAAGAGTTTCTGGGTGAAAAGTATATGGGTGAAAAGTATGTGCAAGAAGAGTTTCTTGGTGAAGAGTCTCTGGGTGAAAAGTATGTGCAAGAAGGGTTTCTGGGTGAAGAGTCTGTGGGTGAAAAGTAAGTATTTGTGAAAAGAATGTGCAAGAAGAGTTTCTGGGTGAAGAGTCTCTGGGTGGAAAGTATGTGGGGGAAGAGTATGTGCAAGAAGAGTCTCTGGGTGAAGGGTCTCTGGGTGAAAAGTCTGTGCAAGAAGGGTTTCTGGGTGAAGAGCCTGTGGGTGAAAAGTAAATAGGTGACACGTATGTGCAAGAAGAGTTTCTAGGTGAAGAGTCTCTGGGTGAAAAGTATATGGGTGAAAAGTATGTGCAAGAAGAGTCTCTGGGTGAAGAGTCTCTGGGTGACAAATATGTGCAAGAAGGGTTTCTGGGTGAAGAGTCTGTGGGTGAAAAGTATGTGGGTGAAAAGTATGTGCAAGAAGAGTTTCTAGGTGAAGAGTCTCTGGGTGAAAAGTCTGTGGGTGACAGGTATGTGCAAGAAGAGTTTCTGGGTGAAAAGTCTGTGCAAGAAGGGTTTCTGGGTGAAGTGTCTCTGGGTGAAAAGTATATGGGTGAAAAATATGTGCAAGAAAAGTCTCTGGGTGAAGAGTCTCTGGGTGAAAAGTATGTGCAAGAAGAGTTTCTAGGTGAAGAGTCTGTGGAAAAAAGTAAATGGGTGAAAAGTATGTGCAAGAAAAGTTTCTGGGTGAAGAGTCTCTGGGTGAAAAGTATATGGGTGAAAAGTATGTGCAAGAAGGGTTTCTGGGTGAAGAGTCTGTGGGTGAAAAGTATGTGGGTGAAACGTATGTGCAAGAAGGGTTTCTGGGTGAAGAGTCTCTGGGTGAAAAGTATATGGGTGAAAAGTATGTGCAAGAAGAGCCTCTGGGTGAAGAATCGGGTGGTGAAAAGTATGTGCAAGAAGAGTCTCTGGGTGAAGAGTCTCTGCGTGAAAAGAATGTGGGTGAAAAGTATGTGCAAGAAGAGTTTCTGGGTAAAGAGTCTTTGGGTGAAAATTATGTGGGTGAAACGTATGTGCAAGAAGAGTCCCTGGGTGAAAAGTATATCGGTGAAAGGTATGTGCAAGAAGGGTTTCTGGGTGAAGAGTCTGTGGGTGAAAAGTATATGGGTGAGAAGTATGTGAAAGAAGGGTTTCTGGGTGGAGAGTCTCTGGGTGAAAAGTATATGGGTAAAAAGTATGTGCAAAAGGACTTTCTGGGTGAAGAGTCTCTGGGTGAAAAGTATATGGGTGAAAAGTATGTGCAAGAAGAGTCTCTGGGTGAAGAGTCTCTGGGTGAAAAGTATGTGCAAGAAGGGTTTCTGGGTGAAGAGTCTGTGGGTGAAAAGTAAATAGGTGAAAAGTATGTGCAAGAAGAGTTTCTGGGTGAAGAGTCTCTGGGTAAAAAGTATATGGGTCTGGGTGAAGGGTCTCTGGTTTCAAAATATGTGCAAGAAGGGTTTCTGGGTGAAGAGTTTGTGGGTGAAAAGTATATCGGTGAAAAGTAGGTGCAAGAAGAGTTTCTGGGTGAAAAGTCTGTGCAAGAAGAGTTTCTGGGTGAAGAGCCGCTGGGTGAAAAGTATATGGGTCAAAAGTAAGTGCAAGAAGAGTTTCTAGGTGAAGAGTCTCTGGGTAAAAAGTAGGTGGGTGAAAAGTATGTGCAAGAAGGGTTTCTGGGTGAAGAGTCTGTGGGTGAAAAGTATATGGGTGAAAAGTATGTGCAAGAAGGGTTTCTGGGTGAAGAGTCTCTGGGTGAAAAGTATGTGCAAGACGGGTTTCTGGGTGGAGAGTCTCTGGGTTAAAAGTATATGGGTGAAAAGTATGTGCAAGAAGAGTCTCTGGGTGAAGAGGCAGTGGTTGAAAAGTATATGGGTGAAAAGTATGTGCAAAAGGGGCTTCTGGGTGAAGAGCCTCTGGGTGGAAAGTATGTGGGGGAAAAGTATGTGCAAGAAGAGTCTCTGGGTGAAGAGTCTGTGGGTGAAAAGTATATGGGTGAAAAGTATGTGCAAGAAGGGTTTCTGGGTGAAGAGTCTGTGGGTGAAAAGTATATGGGTGAAAAGTATGTGCAAAAGGGGTTTCTGGGCGAAGCGTCTGTGGGTGAAAAGTATGTGGGGGAAAAGTATGTGCAAAAGGGGTTTCTGGGTGAAGAGCCTGTGGGTGAAAAGTATATGGGTGAAAAGTATGTGCAAAAGGGGTTGTTGGGTGAAGAGTCTGTGGGTGAAAAGTATATGGGCGAAAAGTATGTGCAAAAGGGGTTTCGGGGTGAAGAGTCTGTGGGTGAAAAATGTGGGGGAAAAGTATGTGCAAAAGGGGTTTCTGGGTGAAGAGTCTGTGGGTGAAAAGTATATGGGTGAAAAGTATGTGCAAAAGGGGTTTCTGGGTAGAGAATCTGTGGGTGAGAAGTATGTGCAAAAGGGGGTTCTGGGTGAAGAGTCTGTGGGTGAAAAGTATATGGGTGAAAAGTATGTGCAAAAGGGGTTTCTGGGTGAAGAGTCTGTGGGTGAAAAGTATATCGGTGAAAAGTATGTGCAAAAGGGGTTTCTGGGTGAAGAGTCTGTGGGTGAAAAGTATATGGGTGAAACGTATGTAAAAAAAGAGGTTTCTGGGTGAAGAGTCTGTGGGTGAAAAGTATATGTGTGAAACGTATGTAAAAAAAGAGGTTTCTGGGTGAAGAGTCTGTGGGTGAAAAGTATATGGGTGAAAAGTATGTGCAAAAGGGTTTTCTGGGTGAAGAGTCTGTGGGTGAAAAGTATGTGCAAAAGGGTTTCTGGGTGAAAAGTCTGTGAGTGAAGAGTATATGGGTGAAAAGTGTGTGCAAAAGGGGCTTCTGGGTGAAGAGTCTCTGGGTGAAAAATGTGGGGGAAAAGTATGTGCAAAAGGGGTTTCTGGGTGAAGAGTCTGTGGGTGAAAAGTATATGGGTGAAAAGTATGTGCAAAAGGGGTTTCTGGGTGAAGAGTCTGTGGGTGAAAAGTATGTGGGTCAAAAGTATGTGCAAAAGGGGTTTCTGGGTGAAGAGCCAAATGCTCGTTTTTTTGCGCCCACGTGTCTCGTCTCGAGTCTCTGGTTTTCCTGTGGCGTCGCTGTGTCTATGGGGGAAGCTGGAAAACATGTCCTTTTCGAATGTTTCCAAGCAGGTTGTCATGGCGTTTTGCATGGCAGGCGTGGCACTTTGTGACATTCCAACCTGTTGATGATGTTCACAAAACGTCAAAATTGGAGGACGTCTCGCATGAAATGCTGGTTTTTCTGCATCCACGCGTCTCGTCTCGAGTCTCTGGGTTTGCCTGTGGCGTCGCCGTGTCTATGGGGGAAGTTGCAAAACGTCTCCTTTGCGAAGGTTTCAAATTTCCACACTTTACACTCCTCACTTTACACTCCACACTCCACACTCTACACACCACACTCTACACTTTCCACTCCAGACTCCACACTCTACACTTTACGCTCCACACTCCACACTTTACACTCCTCACTCCACACTCCAAACTTTACACTCCACACTTTACACTCCTCGCTCCACACTTTGCACTTTACACTCCTCACTGCACACTTTACACTTCACACTTCACACTCCACACTTTCCACTCAACACTCCACACTTTACACTCCACACTCCACACTTTACACTCCTCACTCCACACTTTACACTCCACACTTTACACTCCACACTCTACACTTTACACTCCACACTTTACACTCCACACTCCACACTCTACACTTTACACTCTACACTATACACTCTACACTGCACACTTTACACTTTACACTCCACGCTTTCCACTTTACACTACTCACTCCACACTTTACACTCCACACTTTACACTCCACACTCTACACTTTACACTCCACACTCCACACTCTACACTCCACAATTTGCACTCCACACTCCACACTCTACACACCACACTCTACACTTTCCACTCCTCACTCCACACTTTACAATCCTCACTTTACATTCCACTCTCCTCACTCCACACTTTACACTCCTCACTTTACACTCCACACTCCACACTCCAGACTCCACACTTTGCACTTTACACTCCACACTCCACACTCTACACTCTACACTCCACACTCCACACTCTACACTCCACACTCTACACTTTACACTCCATACTCCACACTCCACACTTTACACTCCACACTCCACACTTTGCACTTTACACTCCTCACTCCACATTCTACACTCTACACTCCACACTCCATACTCTACACTCCACACTCTACACTTTACACTCCATACTCCACACTCTACACTTTACACTCCGCATTCTGCACTTTACACACTCTACACTCCCCACTCCACACTTTACACTCCACACTCCTTACTTCACACTCCACACTCCACACTCTACACTTTCCATTCCACACTGCAGACTGGTAACAAGGGAAACATGTACAAGACTGTTCAAATAAACTATTGCAGAAAGGTATTGTGCGTCACTGCATAACCATGTGTTTTGACATCTGTACCATTAACATACGTGTGAGCATTCGGGTTCGTGGGCTCCATCTTGTTTTTTCCAGTTTCTGCACTCCGTTCGCCATATTTTTGCAAATTTCTCCATGGTGCGTCTGAGGAAATTCCAGAGCGTCCGGAACGCCGCAGCGAAGCTCAACACCGAGCTGCGAGACAGCGGCCTGGACGTCTTGTGCAACAACGCCGGCATCATGGGAAGATTGGCTGAAAATGAAAGCAGAACTGACAGGAGATGGTCAGACGCTGTTTGCATCTTTTTCTCTTCATATTTGTTTCTATTCTTTCAACTTATGGTATCATAATCCAAAAAACATTTGACATCTTTTGACATCTTTTGACACTGGATTTCGTGAGCTGAGGATTTGGTGATGTGGCCACTGAAGATGGTTGTGACATTCAGTCGCCCGGCTTAATGTTTTGTGACCCTCCCGGTGAAAGGCGGTCAGGTGTCACAGGAGGTCACGTTGAGTCAACGTCGTCGAACCCTGTTAGAGTCGTTAAGGATGCAGACGAACCACCTCTCGCACTTCCTTCTGACCGGCCTGTGCATGCCATTGTTGGAGAGGGTCCGAAGGGGTCGCTGTGAAGTGTGAAATGGTACAATGTGGGTAGAATTGCCAAGGTAGAGCAGAATGATGCAGAATGTGAGAGGAACAAAGTTGAAACAGACTTCTAAATTCTTATGAGATGAAACAATGCTGTGTTCAGCGATACCAAAAGATGTACAGTCCTTCGCAACCTGGGACATTTGATGGTGTTTGATGACATTTGATGACATGTGCGTGTGCACGTGCAGGCTGCTGCTTTGCGGGGAGAGGCTCGAGTTGTCAACCACAGCAGCGCTGCTCGTGTGAAAGATGGTATGGAGAACAAGCTCGATGCGAAGTACCTCGCGACTCGAGAGCGTTGGTGATTGATAGAACTGATAGAAGCAATGAGGGTTCCTATGGAGGTCTGTGACAAAATCGTTTCTCAGACCTTTGGGCGAAAACTCCATGTAGATTGCATTGTTTCAGGACGCTGGTCCTCACAGATTTGATACACCCTTGGTTGATTCCCATGAGCTACTTTGGTTTCGTCAGGTTGAAATAGAAAAGCTCTCATAGTCATCACTTGTAGCTCTCTTCTTGCCTTGTAGATCAAGTTTGACCTTTTTTGTTCAGGGTTAGCAAGAGAATATGTTTGTGTGAAATCAGGACAAGAACGGCGGTAACCTCGGGGGCAGCAGCACTACCATGTTCAAGGGAGCGAACTTCCAGCGATGCTTGGCACAGATTTCAGCTCGTTGTTCATGTTTCAAGATTAAGGTCTCTTGTCTCCTGAAGTCTCTTGCACATTGTTTTCTCAAAAATGCTTCCGCTCGTTCCGGACTGCCAGTCAGATAGCCAAGGGATTCTTTGATGTCTAATATGTCTATTGATTTTCATTTTGAGACCAGAAAAAGTGGTGCAACATCTCGAAGATGTTGGATCGGTCAAAGTCCTGCCGAGTCGGAGCCCAGGATATCAGCAGTCAAAGTTGGCCAATGTGGTCTTCACTTATGCGTTGCATGAGCGTTTGCAGCGGAGGGGTTCCTTGTAGAAAATGGAATTCGGGTCCATCCTGAGTCGACAGATAAAGACGCAAGATCGAAACACTGATTCATAAGGCAGATTTTGCAGAATGGGAGGTCGGCAGACACAGAAGTGAAGAGTCGTTCTCCTGTGCGATTTTGTGCATGTCCGAAGGTGTTTTAAAAATTGAAAACGATTTTTTTGAGTTCTCTGCCATTCTCTGCTTTGTCAGGTTCCAACGTGAAATCCTTGGTCGCCCATCCTGGAGTCGCCAACACTCAGTTCCTGGGAACATTTGGAGAAAGAAAGACAGAAACCAACAAAACAAAGAAAAGAAAGTTCCAAAAAGTTTTGAAAAATCAGCGTTGACCGTGTAGTGAATCGTTCGAATCGTCACGTTGCACACGTTGCACACGTTGCACACGTTGCACGCTGCTGACAGGTTGTCCTCTGGCACTGTGGCGGCGGGCGGTGCCGAGGACCTGGCGAAGGCGCCCAAGTGGATCTCAGGCCGCCGGGAACCGGGATCAAAACCTCAACTCCTGGGTGACTCTCTGATTCGGTGAGCCGAAGAAATCCAAAATATCCCAAGAAATTCCTAGAAATCCCAAGATATTAAAACTGTATGGGACTGTATCATTGTTAATCATGATCCAGAGATATCCAGAGATATCCATATGGGAAATGGACTTCACCGCTAGGGTGGCAATTGCCCTCGCAGGTCCTCTAGATGGCGCAATGCACGGCAGTGTTAGCACGATGTTGGTCACAGTCAAGTCCACTCCCTCAGCGTCCCAAGATGTCCCAAGTCCCCCTAAAAGTAGACCCTGAGTGGTTGAATCTGTACATAGTAAGTAGATGTAAATAGTTAAGTATGTAGATAAATGATGATATATGTAAATGTGGGTGTAAGTGATCCGTTCAGTGGGCGAAAGTGAGGCCCTTCCCTTGAACTTGGCCCAAACGGAACCTTCGTTTGGTCGAACGAACGAGTTTGATCTGTCGGGTTGATCTGCCACTGTACCCGAACAGGAATGGTGATTGGTTTCATCGGCCAGTCCGAAGAAGACGCCACTGCTCCATGGCCATATTGCCATATTCGGCCAATATTTTGCCATGGGTACCAACGTTTGCAAAGATTTAGAGGCCTTGATTTGATGAACATGACTTTTTGTGTCAGGTTTCATCCGTGGCTGGGCAAAGGGTTCATGTCACGGTTCTAGTAGATGTATCCACCTTCATGCTTTTACAAGCTACATTTGGTCCACTGTTGCAACCCCACTTTGGATGTAAGGCAGCGACGGGGCAATTGAATGATCATCATTGTGCATTTGAGGGGATAGGGTAGGAATCGATATGAATGTGGTCTTGGTTGCAAGAGAAACTACGGGGGCGCTATTGGTGATGGATATTGATGATCTACGCCACAATGTCTACAGTATCAACGGTCTTCTGGATACTTGTGCACAAAGATAAATTGATATCGTTGAAAGATATGTTATGTGCAACGTGGGGTCTCATCGCCTACACAGAAGATTAAAGAAACGTTAAAGAAACTTCTGTTATGCTTTGTGCCGGTGTCGAGATGGAGCGTTGTGAGGTCGGAATCCTCCGTCAGGCCTGTGATCCTGATGCAAAGTCCGGAGTTTCTTGGCACAGCCACTGTACTGAGTACCGGGAAGCACGGGGAAGTACAGTCCAACACGGCTGCAATGTGCTGAAAATGCATGAAAATGCCAGAAAACTTGATCGGATTCAAGTGGATTCTGGAGTCATGTCGCTTTATGTCGCTTTAGGCCGTCAAACTGTCCCAGGAATTCTACGGACCACTAGGCCAGGGAGGTGGCACTGGAAAGTTTGACTCCACAGAATACAACGGCCCTGCGACGCGCCTGCACCAAGATGCACCAAGTTGGGGCTCAAACTTCGACCTTTTCTGCCAAAGAATTGGCGTCCAAATTTTCAGAGTTTTACGACAGTTCAAGTCTTGACCAATTGGATCTTGCTTTCAGATGTGTTTCCACACTGGGTTCTGTTGTTGGTTCTTGCACATCAGTGAACAGTTTGTCATCAAAAGTCCAAGAGACCTGAAACAAGGCAACAAGATTCTAACAAGATACAACAAGAAGGTGTGTCTTTTTTTCTGCGAATCACGAGTGACGTTTTCCCATTCTCCCTTTTGAGCTCCGAAAAAAGATGTTCAGAAAAGTTGCCTGGAAGCCGAAGCCCATCGCCAAACAGTTTGGAACAGTCCGTGCCCAGAGGTTGGCATCCTGAAGCCCGAGCCCTTCGCAGATTCCGAAGCGCAGCAAGTCCTCTGGTCCATGAGCGAGAAGGTCCAAGAAATCACGACACGATACACAGCAGACATCTTCTGCATCTCCGATCTGTGCTTGTGTCCTTCATGACTCAGACTCCCATGCTTGTCTTCCATGACAGCAGTGTCTCATTTCTTCCTTAAGTGCACAGCAAACATCCCTGAGAGATGAGATATGCTGATATGCCAGACATGCGCGTGATGCTGCATTTCCCTGCATTTCCCTGTTGTGGAAGGTGACCCAATTCCGCTTCCCTGTGTGACTTTCACACGTCAATCCAAGCCTCTAGGGGGCTCTAGGGGCACCAAAAAAGTGGATGGCATATCGTTTGCTGATTATTCAGATGATTTGTCCGCGTTTCTGAATTATCAATTTTGCCAAAGAAGCCCACCTCTCTTTTTGTTTGTCGAATTCTTACTGCCAGCCACATGCCACAAGCTCTTGCATGTCACACCTAGCGGACCTAGCGACTAAGCAGGTGTGACACGGTCTGACTTTGTTGAGATATGTTGAGATTGTTTGTCGGATCGACTCATCTCTGGGAAGCAGCTGCCAAAAGGCGAGAAGCTTCCCATGTGCCTTATGTCTACACAGTTGGAGAACGTAGTTTTCGCGGATGTTGACTTGCCATCCCCTGAAGAAAAAGCGGACACAAATTTAGTGGGGGTAGAGTGCAAGCAGGTTCAATTTATCAACTAAATATGTAACATAACTAAATTCAGTTAGATATCTGACGATTTTGACCTCATTTCTGAGGTGGTCCACATCCTGGGACCAAGCCTCGCACCGTTCAGTTGCATATCAGCAACTGCAACAGCTGGCGGAGGCGCTCAGCCGAACTCTGCCAAGTGGCCAAGTCTGTTCGACATGTTTTGACATGTTTTGACAAATTGAAAGAAATTGAAAAAATGCCTCATTTGACAGTCACATCAGTCTCTGTATCTCAGTTTGCAGCCATCCATTGTGATCCATTGTGCATCTTGGTGGCTGTTGTCCTACTGGTCCTACTGCGTTTCCATGCGGACACCTCCCACTCCCGGTTCAGGTGAGCGCTACACACTTGCCATCCTTGGCTTTCGGGGTAGGCTTGGCGATTTAGAGACACGTTGATTATGGTTGATTAGTTTGTTTTCGATTCTTTTCTCTGTTGAATTTCTATTGTAATTTCCTCGCTTGAACTGTTTCTAGACTTGGTTCTATTCTGCCATGCAGACTATGTGACCTGCAGGCCAGGCTTTGTACTCCTACTTTTGGTTTGAGGAGAATGGCCCCAAGATTTTCCTCGAGGTTGGAATGGATTTCAGATTTCAACACTGATTTGGTCTTCGCCTAGTGCATTGAAGCTTTGTTTGGGCCTGGAACTTCTCCATTTGAATTTCTTAGGCCACCATGCCACCCTGCGCTAACATTACTGTCTATCAAGTCGCCTCAGTAACAGTGCCGTTTTGTAGATGACCCTCAAACTCAAAGGCTGCAGAACTCTCAGTGCAATTGCACGACCTTAGTGACTTTGGCTGTAAAGTCTGACTAAATACTGCCAAGACTCTCAAGTTTGGACAAGTGGTCCAAGAACAGGAGTTCTTCCTTTGCAAACTTTCAGATCGAAGCATGCAACAGTGAGACTGGCATGCGACGCTGTGTTTGCAATTGACTCGGCTTTGCCTCCCACTGGGTTTCACCTTCGTCCCTGAGGTTTGAAGCACAGCGGATGCTCTAATTTGTCCCTTGGCGTCGGGGCTTTTCTCGGCAAGTTGGGACCTGAGACAAGAAAACACAAGGGAAGACAAAAGACATGAGAATGATGAGAACCGAGACTCTGCCAAAGACATGCCAAAAGAGCGGCTCCGCTGCTTCCCTCATCAGGTGTGTCATGAGCGTTGGCTGTTTCTGATTATGCTTTGTGCAGAGGCCGGAGACCTCGGAAACATTGGAGACATGTTTTTCATCAACACAGCAATTTGTGACGCAGCCGCATCAGTTGACTCATGGGCCGATGCCGCCAGGTTGGCACTGCCTTTGCCAAGCGGCGGCAAAGCCTGTCAAAAGCGGCATCACTGCTGCAGCGTGGCAACGAGCTGTCGCCTGGAGTTGTTTCAGATTCTCACGGAACAAAAATCCATACAGCAGACATCCGCAGACAAGAAAGATGATATGATGATTAGAAGATTTTGGAAAAATTGGAAGGGTGTTAAACGTTTTTGCAAGCGCATGACAAGCGCAGAGTGGAAAAACACTGCCAGGTTGAAACGTGTTTGCAAATCAGGTTTGAGGAACTGCGACAATATCCTTTCTTCAGCTTTCGCAAGTGGCAGGCCTGTCTCGATAAATCTGCAGCAACTCCGACACTGTGTCTTTCAAAAATACAAATGTTTGGACGCCCAAGAAATAATCCATCTACAGTGAACACGCGCGTTGCTCAGGATGTTGCCAGGCATATGACAATCGAAAACCACAAAGGGCAAGATGTTGAGACTGTTGAGACATCGTTTCGCGATGTGTGAAGTTTGATGATTTGAGGCCCTGTACGACATCAATACGAATTCTCATGTCTTCCCGGAGGGCTTTCAGCAAAGACCTGTTTGGCCCAACTCAGCTGTGCCTTGACGAAGCAAAAAAGAAACAGCGGATCACACCAAAAAACACACTATACACATCTATACATCATTTCTATCCATTTCTCATGCGGTAAGACAATGTAAGACAAACAGGTGATGTCTTGAACACAAGGTACGACAAACCAACAGGTGCTTGAGATGCCTGGATGACATGTGTGACACACATGACATTGCTATACATTACACGTTCGAAGAATGTCCAGCAGGTTCCTTTGGCCGGGTGGCTGGAGGCAAACTACCACATCTTCCGAGAGGATCTGGATCCTCGGAATCCGACAATATGTTACAATATGTTACAATGTTTCTCTAAGCAATTCCTAGTTGATCTAAGTCGCATTCCGACAAGTTTCATGCAGAGAGATGGAATTGCCGGCGCTGAGATAGAATATTTGAGATTTACTGGAAAGTTTCAAGCTCTGCTAAGGACACGATTCTGAACCAGAGCCTTTTCGACACCCTCTACTTCATGGGCCACGTCTCAATGACACAATTTTCTGGGCGTAGGGAGTCATGGGCACCTTTGAATTTGCTCCTTGGTTGAAAGTTAATGCATTATAATACATACATGCATGCATGCATGCATGCATGCATACATACATACATACATACATATATTATATTATATTATATTATATTATATTATATTATATTATATTATATTATATATATAGATATTATATATATGTGTGTATTATATATATATTATATTATATATATTATTTATATATGTATGTATGTATGTATATATATATATGTATACATATATGTATACACATATGTATACACACACACATATATATATAGTTACACATGTATGTATATATATATGTATGTATAGTATAGTATAATATTGTTATGTTGTATGTTTTGTTTGTGTTTATTTGTGCTTCCAGCTGAGCCTTCAGTCGGAAATTTGGCAGTTCATGACCAAGCTCTGGCCATGCAATGCCATAGCCATTGAGTCACCTTGAGACAGTTAAGAAGCTTCAGTCCATGCCCGATTTCTGTTCCGCGTGTGGTGCAATGCTAGGATCCACAACCGCGAACTAGCGCCACATGCATGTCAGGCTCGGAGACTTCATGTTTAGTGATTACAAAGGGCCAAAGAAGATGAACAAGTCAGTTCAGGTGACAGTCGATAGTTCAAGCATGTTTCAGATCATCTCATCATCATTTATGTAGGGTTTACATGCATTTTGTCTCGAACAAAAGCCCACTTTGGGTTGCAGGTGGCGCAGCGAAGTTGTGCGTTGCTGCAGAGCCGCCCAGAGATTGCCCGCTGCAATGCTAAGCTCCTTGGTGAAAAAGGAGGCTTATCTCACCCTGTTTGATTCTGCGGTTGATCTTTTGATATCTTTTGGCGCGGTGTTCTTTATTGTTTCTTATTGTTTCTTGCTTTCTCCGCTCTCAGGGACGTGGGGGCTGCCTTTGCGCGCCTACAACCTGGCATGGGAATCAAGCCGCACCTGTGGAATGCGCCTCCAAGGATACCACGGCTGACCACGGTGTTCAAGATTCAACTTGTTGAAGTCGACATGATGTCGACATGATGTCGACATGAGTGGAAAACTCATACCAATTCATACCACTCATATAGTTCACTTTTCTTCAAGTCATTGCAGTCAAGATCAGTCAAGCACACAAGACATCTCCCGTTAAAAGGTGGCATTATGAAAGTTTTCGTGTGTTTCTTGGTGTTTCTTGGTGTTTCTTGGTGTTTTTTGGTGTTTCTTGGTGTTTCTTGCGACCCGGTGCCTGCATCATGGAAGGCTGGCAGCACATTTGGGGCTCCGGACACCACATGGCGCATCCATGGCTGTGGGCGAGCACGAGCTGAGCTGGGAAGAAGGGAAGGCAACGGTGTTTGACGTCGCTCAGCACAAGTGGTCGAAGTGTTTGACATGAAACGGATCAAACGGACTTGCACCCACGCCACAAACTTGTCCGTCAAATGCTGTTGCAAACATGCTGATGTAGGACTTAAAGTTTCAGCTCCATTCCTTCTAATCCGCAAGTATTCCAAAGAAAGTCTTGCGCAAAGGGAGACATGTTGTTCCTGCAAACTCAAACTTGCCATTACTCTACCAAAGTTCCTCGGCGCTAGGCTCTGACACCCTGAGCAAGCAAAGTGACTACCTACCCCGAAAGTCCACACCGCCCCAAGCAGACGAAGTGTCTTCCCCCGTGCTGATACGAAAGTATCCGCTCTTGAACCAAAGTTCATCAAAGCACTTGGTACTGAAAGTGAGCATGCAGATGTGCGAGAAAGGGGTAGGGATATTTAACGCTCTTCTCACTTGTCCTTACCTGTTCTCATCTTTTCTCAACTCTTCTCATCTTTTGTCGTCCCACCCGTTCTCACATGTTCTCACCTGAGTTCCTTGACTTTTCTCTGCTCTTCGCAACCTATTTGACCTCTTCTCAACACCTTCTCTACTCTTCTCAACTGCTCCAGCTCACTTCGGAACTCGAGTTTCTCCACGAAACTGGTTGAACTTGTTTTGAGGTTGCTGTTTTGCATCGGTTCATGAGATCCTGCCAAAAACAATACCATTTCGGGAGTTGCTCAACAGAAAAATGACCCACCAGTTACAGGAAATGAGCCCTCACCAAAGGTGCAAAGTCGTTTTTGTGTGCACATGTGATCCGGTAGCAATTGCAATAGCTATTTAACTCAGCTTCAGCTTAGGGGCAGGTTTTTTAATGCTAGAATCGTGGGTGCTTCCACGTTTGTAAAAAGGTCATAAAATTGGCAACGCTGCCAACATAGGTTCAACATGAGCCCAAAATTGCGACAACATCGGCCAAATAGGCTAGGCCACTGCGGCATCCCTTGCACGGGGCTGGGACGCACTTTGACTTGTACGACTTTCAAGGCTCGATAACTTTGATCATTGGCGCCCTTACGGGTCAAGACTTCAGCTGACTGTATGTAAGTCCAATTCTTGCCCGCGTTGTCAAAAAGTTCATGTAGCGCGCAGGTATGAATATCAATCCTTGTCGAATATAACTTTGAGACTGGCATAGGTCCTTTACCTGTGCAAGACCTTGCCTGGGTTGTTAGCGGGCTGCGGCGAGCCATTACTTTTTTCCAAGGGAACCCGCCACATATCTACACGTTTTTCTCGCTAATCTGCTCAATTTCAGCGCTAACAAGCACTTTAATACTTTTATGATCTTCAATGTAATGTACTTACAGGCCCAAGAGCGGGGTCTTTGCTATCACAGGGAAGAAGAGGCTCTGTTTGCTTGGGCTTGCATGGCCTCCTTTGGGGTACGTACTCACTTTGTTTGGTCAAGGTGTAGCAACTTTTGCAACGATGGAAATGCTCTAAGACCCGAAACCGTGACTCAAGGACACCTACATTCACAGTGTCACCCACGAAGGATGCTTGGCAAAAACAAACTTGAAGCTGGTTACAGGCCGGAGTTAGGTTTATGGACCAACCACAGATGTGAAAAGAGACCAGCCATTTCACATTTCGTTCTCTGTTCAGACTGAAACATCCAATCGCCGCCTTCTAAGGAACGGAAGATCGGTATTTGCTTATCACCTGGTTTTGTCATCCTTGTGACACCGTGCATGCAGAAGTGCCTCCAGAAGACCCGGAGCACTTCTGCCCTTAGATGGCGACTGGCAAAAGTTAGTGTAGACCGTGCAGGCTGTGCAGGCTGCCAGTGAAATCGCATAATTGGAGGTGAAAGGGGTCAATGTGGGTCAATGAAGTCCAAGAAATACGAGAGTGCTGTGGTTGCACCGTTTCTCGATTGGTGAAGATGGCAATTTGGGAGGAGCCAATGCTTGAACACCAAAGTCAGGAGGCTGGACCAATTTTAGAGTTGCACTTCAATCTTTGTTTCATTCTGAAAGTTTTGAACGATCTTTGAAAATATTCAACTTTGTATCCGACCTTAAAGCAAAGTCACCTGAAAGCAAGGTCTGAACTGTCTGAACACCTGCTTCCAGCATCCTTTGACTAGGTACAGGCACACCATCGGCCAATAGGCCTGAATGGGCAGATCGTTGGACGTGTTGGACGTGTTGGACTTCGAAAACGTGATGAGTTCATGGTGTTTTTTGCAGGTTCCACCTTTCAGTATTCATACATATTCATACGATTCTATCTGTATCGCAATTCACACCAATTCTATCTGTGTTTGCCCGTTGCGTATTCGCATTGTCGATGAATGTCTGGAGTTTTGCCAGGGGCAGATGTCCATCATCAGGCCGATCTGGACCAGAAAACCAACACAAAACCAACACGTGTTTTCCTCCATGTTTGCAACAAACAATTTCTATAGAAAATCATGTCTGAAACCAGCTTGGATGCGAGGTTCAAGGCTTGGGTCAACCAGGAGCTGGCACCGAAGATGCGTTGGGTATCGTTCAATGCACAAGTTGAAATACCGACAATCCTCGTAATATATATATATATATAATACTATATATAATGTATACCAGTAGTACCGCACAAGGCGGTGGCGGAAGTTTCAAAAATAGGAAACCTATAGGAGAGATTGGTTGTTGTGAATCAGGGATGGCAGAGCAAATCCACTGATGGACGGAAAGGTGCCTTAGGTCTCCTCTCTTTCTCTCTCTTTCTCTGACTATCTACCCACCTACCAACCTATCTTCTATGCATCTATCTATCTATCGATCTATCTATCCCTCTCTCTCTCTCTCTATCTCTCTTTCATCTAATTACCTATCTATCTATCTTGTCTTGTCTTGTCTTGTCTTGTCTTGTCTTGTCTTGTCCTGTCCTGTCCTGTCCTGTCCTGTCCTGTCCTGTCCTGTCCTGTCCTGTCCTGTCCTGTCCTGTCCTGTCCTGTCCTGTCCTGTCCTGTCCTGTCCTGTCCTGTCCTGTCTGTCTGTCTGTCTATCTGTCGACCTGTCTATCTGTGGTGCAGTGTCATTCAGTGTAATGTAGTGTAGTGTAATGTAGTGTAGTGTAGTGGAGTGTAGTGGAATGTAGTGTACTGTAGTGTAATGTAGTGTGGTTTAGTGTAATTTAGTGTAGTAGAGTGTAGTGGAGTGTAGTTGTGCATTGCTTGGACGCACTTGGGGCGGGGTTGATCATCAAAGTTTTGTCTTGAAATCACTACTTTTGGGGTATACTGAGTACTGTATACTGGTGCACCCCATTTTCAGACGCACCCACGTAGGACGCCTGGTGATGGGTTTGTCTCCGCAGAATAATCCATCATCCCAATCTTTATCAATTTCTAAGGGAGTAGCACTTTCACAGAATCAAGTAAAGAATGTCATGGCAAATCTACCCAAACAGATTGAGATGGGACTTGCCCGTAGAATTAGAAACGGCAAATAAAAACAGGACTGACTGTTTCTGTTCGTCGTGTGTCAATGCATTGGAAGAAATTGTGGTTTCTCCAATAATGTTTTTTCAACTTTGCTTTGTCAACGCTGCCGAAATAATTCGAAATAATTCGAGGCCGAAATGGGGCAACCCATCAAGCATCTTGACATCTCTTAACGGTTAACGTGTTTTTACCCATGTGCCCTGCTTGCCGTGGAATTGTTTGGAGGGGTTACCCTTTATCGGCACAATGAACCATATGCACGTTTAGAATGCCCTTAGTCATAGCTAGACAGCTGCCCCGGTGCAGCTGGCTCAACTCTGAGGCGCTTTAGTTTGAGCAGATTTTGCCTTCATGAGATGATCTGCCAGACCATGGAATGCCATGGATTTTACATGATTGTCTCGCGATGGTTTAGTGGATTTCATCAACCCATTTCTAGACATCTGACATCGCTATTTGATATATGAACTTCGAATATCGTCATCAGGCAATGGGAAGTTTATTTGAGGAGGATCATTTATTTGGGGTTCTGTTTTTCCCCGTATTGTTTTTTATTTCTGGTTCCTAGCTTTGCTATGCTTCTCTGCTTCTTTGCTTCTTTGCTTCTCTGCTTTTGTTGCTTTTCTGCTTCTTTGCTTTTCTGCTTGTCTGTTTCTCTTTTTGCTTCTTTGCTTTTGCTTTTCTGCTGTTCTGCTTTTACATGTTTTTCTGCTTTGCTGCGTGTTCTTACTTTTCTGCTTCTTTGATTCTTTGCTTCTTTGCTTCCCTGTTTCTTTGCTTCTTTGCTTTTCTGCGTTTTGCTTTTCCCTGTTTTTCCCTGCTTTACTGCGTTTTCCTGCTTTTCAGCTTCTTTGCTTCCCTGCTTCTTTGCTTTTCTGTGCTTCCTGCTTTTCTGCTTTTCCAGCTTCTTTGTTACCTGCTTTTCTGTTTTTATGTTTTTCCATGCGTTTTCTCAGACTGTAGATAAACCGTGGGAAACATCATATAAAATAAATCCCTAAATCAACCATAAATAAATCATAATAAATCCTAAACCAACCAAAAAATCATTAAAACACGTCTGAATAAACCCTAAACATTTCCTAAAGAATCTGAAGCTAAGCCTGAATAAACCCTGAACGAACCCTAAATAGATCCTAAACCAACCTCTCTCTCTCTATATATATATATATACACATTCTTCAAACCAAGCCCAAATGAATCTTACACCAGCCCTAAATAGATTTTAAACCAGGCCTGAATAAATCCTAAACCAACGCTAAACAAACCTGAAACCAACCTTGAATAGGTCCCGAACCAACCCTAAATAGATCCTAAACCAAGCTTTAAAAAATACTCCTAACACCAACACTAAATAGATCCTAAACCAACCTCAAATAGAGCTTTACCCAGGCCTAATTACACATCAAAGCCAACCCTAAAAAGATCCTAAACCGGCCCCTAAATAGATCTGAAAGCAAGCTTACATAAAACCCTAAACCAAGCCCCAAATAAACCCTAAACCAATCTTCAATGGATCTTAAACCAACCCTAAATAAAACCTAAAACAAGCCTAAATGAACCAACCCTAATCCTAAACAGGCCCAAAATAGATTTTAAACAAAGCCTAATTTATTCAAATCCTAATCCCAGTAGTACCGCACAAGGCGGTGGCGGAAGTTTCAAAAATAGGAAACCTATAGGAGAGGTTGGTTGTTGCGAATCAGGGATGGCAGAGCGAAGCCACTGATGGACCGAAAGGTGCTTGAGGTCTCCTCTCTGTCTCTCTCTTTCTCTGACTATCTACCTACCTACCTATCTATCTATCGATCTATCTATCTATCTATGTATCTATTTATCTATCGATCTCTCTCTCTCTCTCTTCCATCTAATTACCTATCTATCTATCTGTCTGTCTGTCTGTCTGTCTGTCTGTCTGTCTGTCTATCTCTCCCTCTCTC